GCTCCGGTGGGCGGCGGAGAATCTCGTCAGAGACGGCGATCTTCTCATCCTCATCAATGTCCAAAAGAACGTTTTTTATGAGGGAGGCGAGATGCAGCTCTGGGAGGCCACCGGATCTCGTAATTAAACCCTAAACCCCTCTTTTTAGGGTTTAGTTTTGATGAAATTTGTAGCCATTATTTGTAGTTATGTTGATCTTATGCTCCGTCGATTATTCAAACGAGACTAATTGATTGGTTAGAAGTAAAATAAAAAGAAAAAAAGAAAAAAACTTTGAATATTCCAGCTAGGTTTTCATCGAAAAAGGGAAAGAAAATCCAGAGATTAAGTACTCTTGTTAGAAAAATGTGGGATTGCATTCTTTTTACTTTAAGTTTAGTAGAAGAGTAATTGGAATAAAACGAGTACAATATGTGAAGCCATGTTCACAGTAGAGAGACATTATTCGCTGAGTATGTTATCTACCGAACTAAATAAGCACCAATTGTATGCCAACATTTGATTGTTTCATTGGTCTTGGAAGCAAAGAGGCCTAAATGACAGCAGAAGATCTTGATGAGTTAGTGTCAAGAGTCAAGACCCATGAGAATGGAAGCTCTTAAATGTCGTCGATGTCAAAATTTTTAAAAGTAAAAGAGGGAAAAAATGGGGTCCCTCAAATTTAGGCAGGCCCCTGCGAACTTAGTGAGATTTCATATTAATCTTTGGACTCTGGGGCTTCAACCATGCACCATATGCAGTACTCCCATCTGTGTAGAAAACACATGCATGAGTCGTCATTTATATTAACATGATAAGGCTGATGTAACATCTGGCATGGCTAGTCAATAGAAGGGTATATGCATTTCACCGATATATATTTAAGCGTGTGAAGTTGGAAGCTTTTGGTTTTATTGTGGTGTTCATGTTTGTCATGAATGTACATATCTCATTTCACCTGCCCTATTTTTCTTTACATCCTCCTTTTACATGTTTTTCGCCTTCTCTTCTTATTCACCTTCTCAAGCATATACTAATAACGTTCTTATATGTGGCTTAACCTGCAGCTCTGATCCCTCTGACTGAGTTCTCAGAGGCTGGCATTGAAAAGAAATATGGAGTTAAGCCTGATGCTGAGACCCTAGATATAGTTAATACCATTGCCAGGCAAAAAGGGGTCAGTAGTTTTCCTACCTCTCCATTTCTACTCTTCTACCTCCTGCCTATGTAGTTCTGACTACTGTATTGTTGTCATTGCAGATTGTTGTTGTAATGAAGATCTATTGGGGAGACCCCCGCGAAAAGCTATGTGAAGCCATTGACAAGATTCCGTTGAGCTGTCTTGTTATTGGCAATAGGGGCCTTGGGACACTCAAGAGGTCCAGCTCACACCTTGTTACTCATGAATACCTTTACTCTTGAGCTTTTACATTCAATAGTTTTGCAAGTTTAGTTGAAATTCCCTTGCTGAGCTTCTGTTTTCAGGAATGATTAGTTTGCTAGTTTTATACTTTTTGTTGGTAAAGTTTGATATCCCGCATGCAGACACCAAAAGAAAACTAGAGCAGAAAAAGAAGGGGTTGGACACTGTTTTTTAATTGTTCTGGTGGATTGTTTGTGTGTGTGATGTGGGTAGGGGATGCTTTGGAGCTTTTATATGTTGCCAACAGTGTTGCATAGACACAGGACGGTGGTGTCAAGCCTTAATGATTTTCTGTTCAACTAGCTTTTCTCTAACTATACAATAATCAATCTCAATGTGTTTGTTTCTTTTGTGAAACACAAGATTATTTGCAATTTGGTCGGAGGACGGAGCAGCCGTGAAGTCATTTTTACAGTTGTAGATGACATCCTAGATGTTACTAGCTTAATATATAACGGTACTCTGGTTTATTTATTGTTCAATTGCGCTTAGTCCAGCCATCATGACGCAGTAGATTTGAAGATACTGTAAGATAGCATTAGACATTTTAGATGAGCAGGGGAGTAACATAGTATCTGTTGTCATTTCCCCCCCAGTTCCTCCCCTACAGATCTATTTGAGGTGATTCTTTCCCAGCTTTTCATTCTTTAAATGCAATAAGATCTCTGTTCATTATATGAAAGTTTTGGAATCATAGGATACAGGTACCAGATTGTCGTGCCAGAGGACAGGTGTAGTATGAATATGTAGTAATTGAGCCTGATCAAGTTTGAGTCTGTTCATTAACTAATAAAATAAAATGAGCTTCAGCATGCAGCGATCAAGTGAAGCCAATCCCTTCATGAACATCTTCTCAAATTCGTAGTCATAGTTGTTCAAAGATTATTTTCTAATCGAATAATGCTATCGTCTCTGACTGTCTTTCTCGTCTTTCCTTCAGGGTTATTATGGGCAGTGTTAGCAACTATGTAGTGAACAATGGAGCATGCCCCGTCACCGTTGTCAAGAGCGTGGAAGCACATGAAGGCTAGATGATAATTCTGAACTTTCCAGTTAGTGTTTCTCCATAATAAAATCTGTAGCAAGTTTTTAAACCCTTAGATGAATAAGAAGCTTGGTATGTGTGGGTTGTGTATGTTCTTGATTTTATTGTGATGTAGTATAAGGTGTGTTTTGTTTGAGTTAAGTTGCTAGTATTGTGTGCATATGTAAAGTTTTCTCTATCATGGAACCTTGGACAAGTCGAACCAGGATGGGAATTGATCGGTTATGGTTTGAGAAATTGGTTTTGCTGATGTGGTTGTCGACTTTTGTTTTGGTGGTTGTTTGGCTCATTGCAACTGTAATTGTACTTGTAATGCAAGTAACAGATGCACGTAACTGCATTTGTTGTAAGCCAACAGCTTCGGTACTCCATAAAATACAGTACTGATGATACGATTAGGGGCTGTCTGGTTCCTTTCCATAAAATTATGGAAATGGATCCCTAAAAAACACAAATTCAAAAAAAAATTAGGATATTTAAGAAATCCAAAACTTGTGTTTGATTTGGAATGATAAAACAAATAATAGAAAAGCATATTTAAAATTCATGTTTGTTTCATTTCCAAAGAATAAGAAAAGAACCATCATAGAAAGAGAGGAAAAGCTGAGCTGGCAAATATGTCAACTTTATAGTTCATTTTCAAGCCAAAAGATAGGATTTGTGTTGTACAAAAAAGTCACAGTGTTCTCTCTTTTTAATAAACCATTTCTTAAAAAAAAATTAAACAAACTCAACTTTTGGAGTCCTATAATGGTCCAAAACCTACTTTTTGTTTCAAAAATGCTGGTTTTCTAAAATTTTGGCCCAAACAAATAGCCCCTGTTAGGGGGTGTTTCGCAATTTGAAAGAAAATTTAAAATATGTAAGTTATTTTTTTGCAAATGACTTTTAAATCCATGTTAGCACGTAAGTGAAATACAATGCTTGTTTAAAAAATTAAATTATTATCGAAAGTGCAATGTGAAGATGACGTGGCAAAATAAGATTAATTAGAAAATATAATTAAAATCATTTAATTAAATTAGTTATCTTTTTTGCACTTTCATGTGACTTCATCATTTTTTAAGGGGAAGTCAAAATTACATTAAATCATATATGGTAACTTTCTTACAACTCACTTTCATAACTACTTACATGCAAATAAGCACCTAAATTGTTAAATGAAAGTAACTTTCTCACTTTCATGTTTCACTTGCACGCAAACAAACACCCCCTTAGTGAAAAACCACCGAAATTTAGGGCTTGTTTGGATTGAGGGGAAGAAGGGTGAAAGAAAGTTAGGGGAACCATTCACCTTGTTTGGGAACATTTAGGAGGTGAAGTTATTCACCCTAGTTCCCTTTGGTTTACCCTCATAGTATAAAATTTGTTACCCCCCAAATTGAGGTGTAACCAAGGGGAAGGGAACTCCCTTCCCTTCCCTTTCATTCTCTCACCTAGTTTTCATTAGCTTCCCTTCACCCCCTACAAATCCAAACTGGCGCTTATGCTCTCAGTATACGGTTTGAATTGGCGGTGAAGGTTTTTTGGAGTTCCACTGGCAATTTCGTTATTTATTTGAGTTTCAGGGGTGAGGGACACGCTTAATTTTATCAACTGTCAAGTTCTTCCCGTTTGCCTCCGCCCTGGCCACCTCCCCTCCTGCCATCGCCGCACCTCAGTAATTTTAAACAATTTAAGTGCCATTGCAAGGTTTGATTTTGGGAGTTCTAATCTACATGTGGAATAAGATGACGCTCTCGTATATTGTTTTCCTTTCTTCTTTCTTTCTTTTTTTTTTCCCCTTCTTGGGGTTTCTCTTCGTGATTGAAATCATTTGCCTCGGAGAATTTAACGAGATATTTTGCGTTGTATATCCAAATCCAAGTCCCTACATTGGGTATGCAAATAGACCAGATGCAACGGAGAATTTGACGAGATCATCTCTGTTGGGCCGATCTCCTTCGGCGGCGCTTGGTGGCAGAGGCGATGGCCACATCCTCGCCGTCAACGTTTGTAGGATTTTGCGTTTACGATGGTCGGGTTTTTTTTTTGGCTATTGTCACAAAATATTGTTGAGGAGGGAGGAAGAAGATGGTAGAAATTACTATTTTTGGAGTAATCAAGGTGTTATAGGCATTTTATTGCTGAAAGTAATCTCCATTCAATGGCAGACACGTGTTGTCATCTAAAATGACGTTACATGTTGACCCCTGGCTAGGTCGACTCCTCGATCAACCTACTTGACCGGCAATTCGACCGACATCTTGCGAAGACGACTTAAAGGGTTGTACTTCTCGACCACTAGAGGAGTAAAAGGCGACGAAATTCATCGAGACTCGAGCCCCTCCCCGTGCATTGACAGCCCAATCACCTCGCAATAAATACCATTAGATGTATTGGGCGTCACCATTCCTCTGTCTCTAACAGTCTTTATGACATATCGGATCACGTCAGCACTGCACGCCCCCAATCACTTCGCATTAAATACTGAGGTGACATATCCTCCACTCATGGATCGATACATGTAAAGCAGATGCTAACGTGGTCGCCATCGCATACTCGGCCGAAGCTATCATTCTACCATTCTACCACCACTATAAATAGGGGTGCTATTTTCAATAATAAGGTACCGTTTGACATAGGGTTAAGTGAGGGGTTAAGGAGACTTAACCCCTTCTTAACCCGTCAAACACAAAAAATCTATATAATGATTAAAATGAGTTAACCCTCCATAATTTTTCAAACATAAAAATTATAGAAGGGTTAAGCTAATCCATCTAGAGGGATTAAAATGAGTTAACCCCTCAAAATAAGGGGTTTACTAATACTCCTATTTAGAAGGATTAAGAGTTAATCATTCTAATTATAAAGAAAATAGTCAAAATCATTGTTATTCCTAAACACTAAAACTGATCACAATGGCTAAAATAAAATTTATTTAACGGGTTAATAATTTAGTCCTTAGCAAAGGGTTAAGGAAGAGGGGTTAAATAGAATGATTAATGTACTTAGCACATTCGATAATCTGAAGGACTAAATTATTAACCCGTTAAATAAGTTTTATTTTAGCCATTGTGATCGGTTTTAGTGTTTGAGAATAACAATAATTTTGATTATTTTCTTTATAATTAGAATGGTTAACTCTTAATCCTTCTAAATATGAGTATTAGTAAACCCCTCATTTTGAGGGGTTAACTCATTTTAATCCCTCTAGAGGGGTTAGCTTAACCCTTCTATATTTTTTATGTTTGAAAATCATGGAGGGTTAACTCATTTTAACCATTATATAGATTTTTTATGTTTGGCGGGTTAATAAGAGGTTAAGTCTTCTTAACTCCTCACTCAACCCTTTACCAAACGATACATCAGATTATCGAATGAGCTAAGTATATTAATCCTTCTCTTTAACCCCTTTTCCTTAACCTTATGTCAAACATGGCCTAAGGTAAGATCTTTTTCTCCAACTGTTGTGCTTAATAACTTCTATAGTTCAGTTACTTCTCCACTCAAACATGTTATTGACTGAACAACCGGGGAACCCAACCCCGCTCTATTACGATTTGCTACTTATGCAGGGAAGAATAACTTACTCCAGAACCAGACATTCGGAGGGTCACAGGACCTTCGTCAACTTAATCATTTTTTTATTGATTGTTTGATATCAGCCATCAACACAAGGCCGCTCTTGTTGTAATTACAGTCAAATGTAGTTGAGTTGTGGTTATTCTGTTCAATTTTAAAATTAATGCCAAATTTTAGTTTTTGGAAATTTGTTAAGAATTGCATGTAATCAAAAAATTCTGATTGTAGCTATTATTCCAATCTGTGTATGTTACCTATTGTAATTGGTTTTTCTTTTTGACAACTGCATTTTGTATTTATTGGCATTGTGAACAAATATAATTGGCTCAAACCTTCTCAGTTGCATGTAATTATAGCTATTATTATTATTATTATTATTATTATTATTATTATTATATAGGAAGATGCATTGTCTAATAAAATCCATTTCAATTTTATGTTTGTCATTTAACATCTATAAAAAACATGATCGAAAGATTAATATAAAGAAAAAAATTATATATGAATTGACAGCTCATTCTGCAAAATAATCTACCCACTAATATTAATAATATATTTTACAAAATAAGCTGTCAGTTCATACACACTGCGCTATTAATATAAACTCTATTAATCAAGTTTTAAAAATTGGATTTTATAATTATAAAAGTGATACTTCGACGAGGGTAAAAGAGTGAACTCAAGGACAGTTACTGAACAATTCCGGCGCGTGCCTACTATACAGCTCACATGTTTGAAGAATTTAGTGCACGTGCGGTAACAATCTCGTGGTGACGTATACTGCAATTTTATTGTTCTCGCGTCCTCATTTTGTAATTTGACAAATTGTTAATGGCTTTATAGAAATATAGCCTACAACCGAGCTTTTAACTCCCGAGTTCTTTGAACAGGTCACCGTCTACCCTTTTGGTTCTTCAATTTCCAAAATCCAAGGTCAGTTTTTTTCCCTCAAAATTATTCATTTATTTCATTGAAATGTTTGATTAATAGAAACATAGTTCTGACTATTACGATGTTTGATTAATATATTATCTAGGAATTCGACACTGTTACTTTTCCCCCCATTTTATTTGATTATTTGGGTCAAAAATAAATCGCCGGTAGATCTGAAATTGGATCGTGATGCATCCCCCATTTTATTTGATTATTTGGGTCAAAAATAAATCGCCGGTAGATCTGAAATTGGATCGTGATGCATTCATTTCATTTATTTATTGGTTGGGTCAAAAATAAATCGCCGGTAGATCTGAAATTGGATCGTGATGCATTCATTTCATTTATTTATTGGTTATGGATATATTTGTTTAGGTCAAAACCCCATCTTATGTAAGTCTTTCTTTTGTATTGAAATAACCCTAGCTTGCTCGAAAGGGGAGAATCTTGAATAACCTAATTAACATTTTGTTAAGCTATTGATGGCTCTTAATGGGATTAGTAATTACTAAGCCCCCCTTCGAATATGCACACTGTTACGTTGGAGTTCCCTCGAAAGAATAAGTGATGAAGCGAAAACTTTTCCGTTGATGATCTCATTGAAATTAAAAGGTGGATGCTTTCATGTGTTTCCTAGTGGAAGTATCCTCGGTGTTAAGAAAGTCTAGAGCTTCACTTCATGTTAGGCCTTGTTTTCGGCAGTTCCTTCTTTGTGAGCTTTGGTAGATGATAATGATATAATTTGGAACCACCAATACCTTGTTTTCGGCAGTTCCTTCTTTGTGAGCTTTGGTAGATGATAATGATATAATTTGGAACCACCAATAGATAGGGTTTGGTGTCGGATTCTTTGTGAGCTTTGGTAGATGATAATGATATAATTTGGAACCACCAATAGATAGGGTTTGGTGTCGGAAAACCCCCAACTGCCACCCTCTTCCCTAACCTTGGAACTAGATTGGTGGCATAGCTTCTGTAAATAGGAGTGCTGATATTAATAGGTGTGGATGGAGCTAGAAATCAATCAGATGGTGCATAAGGATCAACGTAAAATCATTAAACTGTAAATTGTCTAACTTATTATCCTCCTAACACTAACACTATAATATCAGTGATAAACAATATCAATAAAATGTAGTAATTGCTATTCCTTTGGTTGGAATTGTGTATTTATTAATTCTTTTCATCCTACTGGAAAAATTCACTGGTAATTTATACGAACATATATTATTTAGGTTCTATCTATGTCAGTGCGCTATGGATTCAAGAAAAAATCATAAACTTTTAGTACATGAACATAATTTTTGAAAATACATACTATTTTCCACCTTGCCCTTAAGCCTCTCCTATGTTTTTTTTTTTTGAGTGAGCAAGTGCCAACTTGGTGTACATGTGGCTCTGCATATGCTGGTAAGTCACACATATGAATCATAATTAAGAATGGATCGCTTAAATTTTCTCTCATGTCTTATCTCTATGATATAAGTCCTTAAAAGTTACTCACCTCTCTAAACTCCAAATAAAGCATCCATTGGTTTTTAGACAGTTGCATTTTCACTATCTGTAAACTTTATTTCCCTAATGAGAAATTGCTAGTTTTGTCACACTGCTCATTAACATTATTTTTTGTTATGGGACAATGCTGTCATCTAAAATTTTCCAGTTGCCTTTAGAAGCTGCATATCGTGGTAGAAATTCCACAATTTTTATTTACTACTAGATGCATGCTAGCTAATACTTCGGACGGAACTATTTATGATTCAGAAACGGCTTCTTTCACTATTTAAGCACCCTCCTGGTCCCTGAAAATATAGTGTTCGAAGTGATATTTTGAGGAGATTGATTTTTGTTTCTTAAAACTATGATAACTGGTAAACCAAACATCTCTTTTTAGATTCGTTGCGCCAATCTGACGTTTACCTAGAGTATGAGTCATACAGATCTGGTCCGAGGCAGTACTTCTCGTGCTTTTTGGAACTTCTTAAATAGGCATTCAGTTGTATAATACTTTTTAATTTAGGACACTTGTCGAGAACTTTTTAGGACCCTATTTCTCCACTCTCACATACTTTTCCATTCAAATTACACTTTTTGAAATATATTTACATAATTCACATGCCAATACTATATATTAGTGGAAAAGGGCATAATATCGACTTGTATAAAACTATGATAAGTATATATGCGTCTTGGTATAAAAATTGATACATTGAGCTACTTTGTGAAGAGTTAAAGAGAGAAGGTATATTTATTTTTACAAAGCCATGAAAATGTATTGTAAATTAAATTAGCATATATGTCACCATTGAGTATCGGTATATTACTAGGGATTCTGATTCTATCAGAACATGGCGCATACAGGAAATTGATCGGGGCCTTTCATAGGTAAAATAAGGTGGTAGTTTAGGGATTTCACCGCCCTCCACTAGTCAGAACTCCCCGCTTGCATGCTGGAACTTCTGATAGGATGTGTTTCTATTAGTAGAAGTCTGTATTTGGACCTTTCAATGTATCCACATGTTTATGTAAGGAACTATACATGTGAGTATACTCTTTATTAATTATATGTATTCTTGTATCATGTCATTGTGTTCCCATATCCTTCTTTTTTAATGAATTGTCATGTAGCATCTCCATGCCTGCACTGTGTTTGATTCCTATGTACATGCAAATGCTTCTTAGATTAGTTACCATTTCATTAAGGAACATATAATGATTATACAAGGGTTTAGCATTCTTTCTGCTAACACGGTTGAAAACATTTCTGCCTTGCAAAGATGAATAAGTTAAAGTTCGTGACAAATCACTTTCACTTTAGGATATTTTCTCAGGTATGATGTAAGATTCCCCAAGTATTTGTTGAGCGAAACTCTGAGTATGTGACAGTCACCAGTATGCGTATTCTTGCTATCTGGATGTGATGTTTTTACTTCCCAATTTGCTTTATATCTAATATTCCCATGTGTCGAAGGATGCACTTCTGTATGGGCTGTAGACAGAAGAGTATAATTTACTTTGTGGAATGGTTCATTGCAATTCAAAAAATCGTGTATATTCAGATAGATCATCTTTTCTATCCTTCACATGTATATAGTATCTCATATCATGTTATTTGTATTGCTGACATCTGTTTATATTTGAAAATGGAAAGCTTGTCAGTATACATGAAAATAATTTATCAATATTAGGTAGAAAATAAAATACACTTGAAAAATAGCAATCACATTTATTTCCTCTTTGTTGAGCATATACAGTTCATGTAATAACTGCAATCATCTTATCTACTTTTCTGTATCACCCCCTAGGACTAGATAATTGAAGGGCCCACTTTGATCTCTTTTTGGCATTGACTTGTGCCTTTCAAAAGGATATTTTTTGCTGAAAAAATGGAATTCAATCATTTTTACAAAGTTGATACGAATATAGACAGTTCTATTATTTTCAATTGTATTTATGTATACTTACCAAAATCTCTCTTTTTTAAGAAAATTGCTATGCTAATTCTTCCAATTTCCTCCCTTCAGGTGATTCAATATTTCTAACTTAAGCAAATAAAAACCAGATGGCTGCTCACAAGGTCGCACACGCCACCCTAAAAGGCCCAAGTGTTGTAAAGGAGATCTTCATCGCCCTTACTTTAGGCATGGCAGCTGGCGGCATGTGGAAGATGCACCACTGGAACGAGCAGAAGAAGACAAGATCCTTCTACGATATGCTTGAGAAAGGTCAGATCAGCGTTATTGCTGCTGAAGAGTAGCTTTTGCTAGGCCATTTCTGGTTTGACGAAGAATTGATAAACCAGAATTTGAATCTTATTTTTGAGTTCTCATTGTTGGTTTGTGGAATAAAGTATGGATACTTGTTGGAGTTGTGCAAAATATTGACTTGCATTACGTATCTGCTCTCTTTTGGCAATTGATAACAATTTGTACTTGACCTAGAATATTATTCGCATCTTGAATATTTCTCTATCATATCATGTTCTCTGAGTACATAACTGTTTATCTCGCTGTGTCATTTCTGGTTCAAGAAAAGAGTAATGAATTAGAGCTCGCATCTTTTCTTTTTAGTTCTCTTTGTTGGCTTATGACCTAAAGAATGGATACTTGATGAGGAGTGATGCAAAATGTTGGTTTGCATCTTGGTACATGTTCTCTTTTGATATTTGGTGCTTGGTTTGAAGTACTATAAGCATTATTAATTGTTCTTGCATTGATTTTTTTTCTTCCTCTGAGCACATTATTCTTCATTTGGTGTGTGAATTGTGAGGCGCTTAAAAAGGCAGTAGTCTTCTGATTCAAATCATTTGAACGTCTCTTAAGTTTATCGGTTTCTGTCATTGCTGCAGAACTAGTTGAAATATTTCATATTCGAAGTAACAGCAAAAGTCACAACATACTTAAAAACATGCAAAATACTACCATTTTCCTGTATCTTGAAGCCATGTCCAATTACAAGCATAGTATAAATTGATCCAGTCGGGTCATATAGCTTCTGATTACAACCATGAGATGATCGAGCCGAATCCATATGCAATCTACACAGCCCTTAACCTTCACATTGATAGCAACAACCGCAAAACGTTCATCTCATGATACCACACAATTTAATATGCAAATAGATAACCTCTGCTAAGAATAACTTTATACTTCGATTCTAACAAATTGGTGCATTTTCTGCGCAAACCAGGAAAATCAACTATGTACATAGATTAACAACCAAAACTCAAGGAGTTGTTGCGTCTGCATAATTTCACATCTGAAGGTAAGTCGTTATCTTACTGTAATATTTTCATTTTAATGCAAATCTCACGGGATCAATCGATACGCACAATATGATGATTACCAGATTGCTATGTAGATAACAGGCAGCAATTTTGACAACTTTGACATAATTGAATCATCATGCATTATATATCTCTAGCATTAAGCATTTTATCAAACTAAACAGCATAAAACAAGAATAAAAGAGTTGAGCCAACCAATCGATCAAACACGAATAAATGATGAAATGGGGAACAAACTAGATTCAATCAAGAGGAAGAAACATGCAAATCGATGCAACAGAAAATACCCACTGGATCACATCAACAGGGAACTGATACATTGACAACTCAGAACTGAAACATGTTTACTACTCAAATATCAGGCGTATGCGGCAACAGCAATTTAGATAACTCGACATGATTAACAAAACAACAAATGGCAATAAATTGTTAATTTTGCTCCTAGACGACCCGAGTTTGGATTCAAAAGAGCATTTAACAGTAATCAAAATATACGACAGAGAACAAGGAGACATCAACTAGGGTGACCCAAATTTGCAATTGCCCTACACATTTCAAAAGAGCGTATAACATTCATGCAAACATAACCCAACCCATCATTCAAACTCACCACAGAAACTGATGCAACCCTAAACAACTCGATTCCATCCAAAGAGTCTTATATCACAAAGTAACTAGAAGAAACACGCAAATTACATAAACAACGTAAAGATAACTCGCATAACAACAGGGAAACTTCTACATCAACAACTCAGAACTGAAACATGTTCGCAGACGCCATGATCGGCTGCGCAGGGCAAGGGAGCTGCCATGGCTTCAGTAACGGGTCAGGTATCTCCGGTATGTCCATCGCCAACCCGCTAAACTCCTCAACGAACAGAAGCACCGAGTTCAAAGACCTGAGCCTCTCAGTCAATTCCATCACTTGGGTCCTCAACACAGTGTTATCCCCGTCAAGCAGAAGAAACTGCTGAGTTATCAGATTGATCTGCATCAAGATTTGACTGTTCTCATTCTTCAAATGTGCAACTTGGTTCATGAGATCATCTAATCTCTGCTGCTTCTTCATTCTCGATCTCCTGGCGGATTCCCTGTTCGATATCATCCTCTTCCTCTTCCTCTGATCGATTGCGACCTCTTCAGAGCTCGACATTGAAATCTATGTAATGTTCTAAAATTTGATGGTTTCGGGATTGATTGAAGGCTAAAAGTTCAAAACTTCAAAGGGATTGGAGAATTAGTTCATGAGATAACATAGAAGTAGTGGAGGAAGAGAACAGAGAAGGATTGAAGGATCGGACGACGGAGGAAATGATAGAAGTTCATAGAGAGGGTTAGAGATTGACTCTATATGACACAGGGCGACAAACCATTGATATTATGAACAGGGAGCTTTGGACTAATCAAACGAAACAAACTTTCGATCGAACACAAAAGAGAGGTTTCTTGATTTTCACTTGATTTGATGGAAGCCTATAGAAATTAGCCGGAATTGGCAATGGCGATGGCTTAAAAATGAAAGACTGGGGAATAAACGGAATGCGTGTTAAAGAAACCCTAAATTTGAGATTTTTGAACAGTAACCCCTAAAAGCTGGGATTTTTACTTGGATTTTCAACTTAATTCGAATTCCACCACTACAATTGAGCCAAATTTCACTGAAATTAGCTTTAAAGGATAAATTTACAAATGGGTTTCAATCTAAATCGGGAAGTTTTTTACCTAACGACCAGATTTCACCAAAAAAAGACTGGATCTTTATTCACAGGGCTCAGAATTTCAACCAAACAGCACGAAATCAGAACGAAAAAGAGAGGAAAAGACGAGAACTTAGCTGTGATTGGAACCACGCGATGAGATTAGAAACGAGAGAGTGGAAGGTTAAGGGTAGACTTGGGATCGGCTATTTATAGAAAGAGCGGGGGCATTTCGGGAAGAGAGATGGGGGCCATTTAGGGAAGAGAATTGGGGATTTTAATATGAGTACCGGAAAGGAGTAGGAATCTTCTGTTGAAATTGGAACCGCACACGTTTTGGCTTTGAAGGTGGCCAGGCTGGGATTAGCTTTTTTTTATTTTATTCCCAGAATGACCCTAAAGTGACGGCGATTTTTTTATTGCTGCGATTGGGTAGGGGTAGAGGTGGAAGATATTCTTTTGAATATTCTTCCCAAAATACACCTGACTCGGACACTTTACTTGAAATAAATACGGAAAGTATTCGGATGAACGTTGACGACCACTGGAACTTCATACAGGAGATCAATCAATATGAGCAGTGCAATGTTGCATTTGGTTAACTCATTATTTTGAAATTTTAAAGAGTAATGGTGACTACAAGTTCTATACTGCTACGCAACGGCAGAGCGAAAAAAAAAATTCTTAGACGGTCAATCAGATATCTATTTATCTGATAGTAAAAATATAATATTATAAAACTATAATATCTGATGGAAATGCGCTCGGTACATGTTAAACGAGCTAATTCAATCTTCTAGTAAGGTATTGAGTGTTTAACAATAGGTGTAGTATTGGGTGCAATTTTTAGAATTTATTGTGGGGAGGGGGCAAATTATGGATCTTAGGTGTGGTCCCGTTTGGCAAAGGCTTAAGTGAGGGTTAAGAAGACTTAACCCCTTATTAACCAGATAAACACAAAAATCTATATTGGTTAAAGTGAGTTAACCATTTATAATTTGCCAAACGTAAAAAAAATGCAGAAGGGTTAAGCTAACCCCTTTAGATGGATTAAAATGAGTTAACCCCTCAAAATGAGAGGTTTACTAATACTCCTATTTAGAAGGATTAAGAGTTAACCCCTCTAATTATAAAAAATCATTGTTACTCCCAACCACTAAAAATGATCACAAAGGGCTAAAATAAAACTTACATAACAGGCTAATAATGTAGTCATTCAGATTATCAAATGGGCTAACTATTTTAATCATTCTCTTTAATTCTTCTTCCTTAATCCTTTGCCAAACGGGCCAAGGATTTACATGTAATATGTAAATTTATGGAAGTGCAGCTACACCCAAACCTCCATACATAAATCCGCCCCCACTGCTACAAGAGAGAAGTATCAAGTACGTGAGACCCTTACTCGTGAATTGCTATCAGAAATTATGAATCTCGAAAACAAAGTTACATTTTATAATATGATTGTAGTATGTGAGTTGTAGTCTAATCATCACCACTGAAAATTGAATGCCTTTTATATATATTTATATATATAATATATTATATATATTTATAGTATATATTATTATATATATATTTATATATATATATATATATAAACTTATATCAACTTAAGTGGAGTCCACTAAGTTCTTAGTCATGTGATGATCACTTGATTGAGATACATTTGATGATCCACTACGTGAACTTGAAACTACATACTCTAAACCCCCAATCACAAAATTTGGTTGGTGAACCGTCTGTGGTTTGACGCATTCATCTACTCGTATAATTTTAGCGCGTTTCGAATGAATAGAACTTTTACATGGTCACGGCATGGTCAAACCACGACGGGTTCACCACACATTTGGTGTGTTGGGTTTTAGTTGTAGATCAGCTTCAAACGGAGCGGTATCCATCCACAATGTAGCTCAATCAGTGATCAATCCAATGACTAAGAAACTTAGTGGACTCCTCACTTAAGTTGGACTAAGTTTCTCTCTCTCTCTCTCTCTCTATATATATATAATATATATATATCAGTATATATATTATATATATATATATATATGCACTTTTATTAGTTCTAGATTCGTAATGGAGTTTATACTAAACTTATAGCAGCAATATCCGCTTGCTTAATACCTTAGTCAATTGGGACATTTTCATGCAAAATGGGATAATTATGAAAGTGGAATAATTTTTCGCTAGTGGGATATTTTAGTGAGATAAATAGGAACAATTTTGTGAAGCAGGATATTTTGATAAAATAACGTGGGATAAATTTTTATAATCATGAAATATATATTTATGCATTTTGAAGATATAAATACTATTTATGTATTTTAAACTTACTATTATTGATTAATAATTACTTACAAGGATGTTCTTTACTATTAAATAACTTTTAGTTAGACTATAAGATATTGACAATTATTATTATAATGATGGTCTAATGATGATGATAACCATAATAGGAAAGAAGTAAAAAATATATATATAAAAAATAAAAAATAAAAAATAACAAAATAAATATGAGTTTTAGTTTTTTACCATCTAGTTCCAAGCTAAAACTTGGAATAATTTGAGAGACTAAGACTCTCATTTTTGTATAGAAAAATAAAAAAAAGTGGGATAATTTTGTATCATTATCCCAATTCTAGTTTTGTTAGAGTTCTACTTGACTAACACTGTAAAATTTTGTTCTAGTTTTAGTTCTATGTGACTAACACCTTAAAAATTTATCCCATAAATTATTCCAGCTCCACTTTTAAGTTCTGGATGACTAACCCCCCCTTATGAGATATTTGCAGTTATATGTAGTCCAAAGTCTAAAATTGGATGACAATATATGACAATGACATTTTGAACATAAGCTCTCGTGGCCAAGTATGGACTCCAGTTCTTTTGGCAGTTCCCATGTTTTCTTCTAGAGCTCTCCTTCATTAGTTTCTCTGCGTGGTCAAATATCATCAGCTACATGAGAAGCACAAGCATAAAGTAGAAAATTATTAGTATATGTGCGTAGGGTTCGTGACCAAAAGTTCTAAGAAAACTTATCCGTTAAGGATTGTGTTCCATTAGACCATGTGCTACATAAGGTAGCAACTTTCAAATGCTTAAATTTATGTCAAAAAAAAAACATATATAAATCAAGTGATAAAAATGAAAAAAAAATGTTAACTATACATGAACTCTTAAATAGATTTTACTAAATTTAGGTTGTTATAATAAAATGTTGAGCAGAGTATGGGATCATAAATGTTTCCACAGTCCCCTGGTTTTGGACCAACAAAAACATTCTTGGTAGTAGACAAAATAAGATGAAATAAAATAAAAGGTTAAATGGGATAAAGTAGAGGAACCAATGGGCAAGTCGTAATTTGTAGCTACTACACCTTTTTTTTTTAAATCTATTCATTGATTATGATTTTCTTGTATTGTGATATAGCATAAAGAGCCTGGTCCTACTTGTCCTTCTTTGAGCAAGCAACAAAACGTGTACAAATGGGTATCTTACTATCGACCAAACAAGCCAATTTACATCTTGACTTTTGTGATTATGAGGTTGTTTGGTGTAAACTTGAGTATTTATGAGACACTTTGGAGAGTTTCCTTTTTTTTATTAGATGTTTCTTCATTTATTTGGCGGGGTGAGAGGGAAAAGATCTGGAGGGTGACAAAAAACGAAGCAAAGGGAGAGAGGAATGAACGAGTGGTTATGTTTTTTTTTTTGAATTTTTTTAAACATAAAATGCCACCGCGAAAGCAATTTTCCAACCAATTTCTTGTTGGGGATTCGAAACAATCAAATCGAATCCGTGCCCTTCCGGATCTTGTATTTGAGAGTTTGAGCAAGTAGGAAAATCACCACAAATCAAAAAAAAAATTGCAGGAAAGTAAACAAGAAAAAGAACACACCAGAGTTAACGAGGTTCGGCAACGTGTCTACGTCCTCGGGAGCCACACCACACAATTCTTTGATTAATTGAAGAAGATTACAATGCTCACAATAGGCCTCTCTCTCTCTAAGAAATTGGATCTCAAAGAGCAGTCAAAAACCTCTATTTTTCGTCAGCAATAAACCCTAGAAACATATAAGAATATATATAGAAGTCTAGGTGGAATCCCAAACAAAACAGGAAACCTGAAAAATCGATTCCGGTCGACCGGACAATGTGTTCGGTCGACCAACCAGAACGCCAATTTTCTACAGGGTCTGGTGCACGTTTTCGGTCGACCGGCCATCACCTTCAGTCGACCGATGACCACTCTCGGTCGACCGACACCAAACTTCGGTCGACCGGCCAGAGTGCAGTTTTCTCCTCAGTTTTCTACAGGTTTCGCGGTCGACCGAATATCCTCCTCCGGTCGACCGACCAGCGTTTTGACTATTTCCTTTTTCTTTTTGAATCAGCGTTGGGTCTACACCACTTAGACTAACATTTCTATCCTTGAATTGGCATTTGCAAATTTATGACACGTCACTAAATTTGATGGCACGTCAAAATTTTATATTACGGTTAATATCCCAACTAAACAATGTAAAAGGGTGAAAGTTCACGCATTTTTACCACTTTTGATCTTTTCCTCTCCCAAAGGATTGCATCCAAACAACCCCTTCCTCTCAAAGGGCTCTAGAAAAGCATCATATAATTCACATAATATAATTAGTTAATAAGACAATAGAAATCATACACCATTTAAAAGTACGAGTTCGGAAAAATCTTCTTATGGTCAATATTACCCTTATTTTTTTTAAAATATTATATTATTATCCTAATCTATTCTAATTACCCTATCTTTTTTGAATTGGTAACCAAATGATTTATTTTATTCATAATGAGACTTAGCATGTTATTGGATAAAATAGATACATTTAATATAATTCAAATCTTTTACTTATTTCAGTTCGTAGAGAAATCTACAAAAATATGCTAGCTAGCACCTATAAGTTTTTGAACTTTGTAAAAAATATTCTCTAAATATTTTAAATTGTAAAAACGGCCCTACAAATTCAAAATTTTATTAAAACATCTTAAAAATTATAAATTTTACTTATCTCAATTTAGTGAGAAACCTGAAAATATATACTAATTAGAAACTGAAAGTTTTTAACTTTGGAGAAAATATCTTGTAAGTTTTAAAAATTACAAAAACTCCCCTAAAAATTCTAAATTTATAAAAAATATCTTAAAATTTTCAAACCTATAAACATACTAAAAACCTATAAATAACACAAACAAGCCCAAAAA